ATTTCTTTCATTTTATTAAATTAATTAACATGATAAATTTGAAAAAAGAAATTATTTAAAATTTCGATAAAAAGAGTTCATTAAATTTATAATTCTTTCGAAGAACTCTAAACACACAGCATTACATTACGTAACAACTAGACGTCAAATATATAAGAAAAAAAAAAATCTTTCTTTAATCAGATACATCATGAATATATTCTATACTCAACAACAAAACAATATTCTCATATTATATTAACACATGAAGATCTCAAAAAATTCAATAGATTATATTCATTTATTATTTTTTTGAAACACATATGGTATTCGATGAGAAAAATATTTAATAACTGTAGCCTTTTTCAAAGTTCGATAGCAACAACAAAAGATTCTTTTATTTAAGTATCTTTTTTTGTAGCACTCACTGTTTTCTATACATAATGTCAATTAAATGCCTAGATTCTTCAGTATTGTTTCTGTCAACCATACAACGGAGAATTCATATGGCATAAAGAAGGTCGTTGATTATAGCACAGCTGTTTCTCATAGATAAACATAAATATTCGGGTCAATGAATTTTTAGCATGGCAAATTTAAGTACAAAGAATAATCTATATGGTGATTGTCCAACGTTGGAACGATTAGTATGAGAAAAGATAAGGGTAAATATCTATATATCATGACATTCAACAAAACAAAAAAGCCATAAAAAAATAATTGAACAATATACAAACAAATGGAGAAAATTGTAAACAATGGAATTCATCTGAAACACTATCGAATAGATGTTTGTGACAATTAGTAAATTTTTTTTGAAATTGTTGATTTATCTATGACATAAGAGCAGCCATCAAGATTTAACCATGATTTTTATTTAATTATTTCAATATAGAATTATTTTAATATTTTAGATCAATCAAATTCTTTTTATGAATTTTGTATGTTTAACGAAAAATTTCTTTCGGTCATATCAATGATTATGAATTTAGATCATCTTAATAGTATTTATTACTTTGTTTGAATCATTAATATATACTTTTTTTCCACGAACAAATATCATTAATATTTATTCGATGTAATATAATTTCATTTATATGTCCTCATATCGTATATTTTATGCAAGATCATAAAAGATTTAAATTCATATAAACTTTAAATTTAAATAGTTGCTCTTTTTTTAATCTATGTATATAAGAATTTCTCTATAAATCTAACAAAATAACTGTTGTTCTTTAGAAGAAAACTTCCCCCTCCCTAAAAAAAAACCGATTTTCATATATGATATAGTCGAAATAACATATTCAGAAATCAAATCAAGATAGATAAAATAATTTTAATCGATTATCGACAATTAATAAAATAGAGACAAGAATCTTATGTCTGAATCAATTAGAAATACAATGATATTATCAAATTATATTGAAAAAAAAAATTAAATTTATTTTTCTCAATAGACAAATAATATAGATTTTTATTTTTTTTCACAAAAAAAATAACCATTAGACAAATTTTCTTTTTGTTTAAACTTGTTCCAAGAAGAAGAAATTGATACTTGACAATACATAAAAAGAAAAAGAAAGAAAAATCACTTAAACTGCTGTTGTTCGTGGTTCAAACACAGTAGAAGCACGAATTTTGCTCTGTTTAGAATGTCGATCAGTTAATGTACCATTTGTTGGTAAATGTGACATTGATGCATGTAAAGAACGTAAGGTTACTGTACTTGATAATGGACGTTCTTGATTACAACCACCACTTATATGATTTATATGTTGAAAATTAATTGGTCCTGATATAGCCGATTTTTTAACTGTTCGAATTCTTGATAAACTACGACAACGACGTAGATCAGATTCTTGTTGTTCTTTATCTTGTTTATTTGATATTGTTCGTAAACGTGAATAACGACGTGGAATTTCTTTAGTATTATTTGTAGATTTAGTTTGTTGTTGTTGTTGT